GGTCTCTAGCTCGCTCAAGTGTGTTAAATCTCTCGGTGGTGTTCCTACAAAGCTCAGTTAGATCCGACTGGTTTTCCTTGAGTTTCTGGCTAATAGTGTTCATTTGGCCTACCAACAAGTCTAAGATCCTTCCTAGTTGTTCCAGGTCCATTTGGAAGTTACTACGGGACTCCTAACAAGGCTAGGGTGTAAAGGGCAGCAAGTTTAAGATGAAACACTCACAAATATGATGCAAAATGATAGGGAAAATAAACGGGGCAGCAACTTAACAGTTCTCTAAATGCTAAAATGCAAAGGTACGATGCAAAAAATTAAAAACTAACAGGAATCCTAAGTCATGCAAGAGCATACCATGCTCTGATACCAGATGATGCAGAACTACGTAAATGAAGTGTACTTTAACTAATGGATTTTGCACAACTTATGATTAGAATAATTCTAGAACAAAAACACTAGCAAAATCAAACAATGAATCAAAACAATTAGTGGTTATCCGCTTAGGCTAAATCACATGGTGAGAGATTTGAAAACTTCCTAAATAAACAGGAAAACAACACAACGAATAGTAGTATCTTTGAAAATAATCTCTAGTCTAACAATGAGAATTAGATAGCATAGAGGTGCACTCAAATCCTACGTTTACTAAGCTTAAGCAAGAGCAATGCGAAGGAGTTCGTCGTGACTGCAATCAAATCAAGAGGAGTTAGTCTAAAAGGAATAAGAAGATGCAAGTAGGGAGAAAAACCTTCGTCAAGGGGTAGTGGAGATCCTCCACTCAATGCATTCGAAGTGTTCGTCAATAGCCTCTATCAAATAGATCAACGTACGCTCCAAGTAATCCTCGACGGTGAGATCAACCCTTGGGTTCACGTCGAAGAAAGTAGATTGTAGGATGTCGACGAAGCCGAATTTGTCCCAAGTTATGTCATAGTCAGTTTTCGGATCCGCCATTCATGGATGATTGAAAGTAGAATCTCCTTAGCCCTTGATACACCTCTCGAATGGTAGCAAAGAGAAAGAAGTTTCTCTTGCAAGTAGAGAGAGGTTAAGTCCTAAGTCTCCTTTCAAAATTCTGAAAAGAATTTCAGATTTTGGAGCTGAAATATGAGAAGAATTTCAGATTTCTATGCTTGGGAGTAAGGGGAATTGGAAGGAGAACTTGGAACAAGTAGATGGAGGGAGTTTGAATTTTCTCCTTCCTAAGTATTCTCTTGATTGAGAATGATAAAAGGAAGAGAGAAGGCAAGAGGGGGGTGGCGACAAAGGGGGTGAGGAAGGGTTTGATTTAATTCCATAAGGGGAGATTTCTGTTTAGAAAGAAATTAAATCAAGGGGCATGAGAATTTTGGCCAAGGAAGAAAAATAGGGGATTTGGAATTATTTCCTAAAGGGGAGGATGGGGTTTTAGGAAATAATTAAAAGAATTAATTGAGATAGGGACAAGGGGGGCCGGCGGCATCCAAGGGGAGAAGGGAGGGGATTTAGGGAGTTAATGAAGCTTCCTAATTTAAATTCATGAGATAGGAAAGTTTTAATCAAATCCTCTCTCATTCAAAATTCAAATAGGAGTGCATGAAAGAACTTTCCTAAAATAGAATTAGTAAATTAGAAAAGTTTTTGAATTTCAAATCAATTGAATTTGAATTTCAAATTCATCCAAATTTGACCAATCCTAAATTAGGAAACTTCTAGGAGATGATGAAGTGGAGGTGGCCGGCGGCTTTGGAGTAGTGGCCGGTGGCTTTAATGGGTTGGGTGGAAAATTGGCCGTGGGGTTAGGAGGTGGGGGAGGGAGTTCGGCTAGGTGGAGGGGAAAGGAAATCCGGCGGCTTTGTGAAGGGGGATGGGAGGATGAAGAAAGAAAAGATATGAGTACAGAACCACGAACCCGACTTATCTAGGTTGGTTGGTATTGCACGATCTCCCTCTCCTAGGGAACTCTCTCCATTAGAACTCTCAAGCTCTCTCAGTACTCATGCGTGAAGAAATTTTAATAAGCAATCATTCCTTAATCAATAAGATAAAAGAAGAGACTTATAAATAGCCGGGTACAATGACTCAATGAAAATAAAAGACACTCTTGCCCTTTGGGCTTACATACGACGCTTCCCATTAAAGGGGTACAAATGGAAAACATAAAGACGCTTAATAAATAAAATGCATGAATGATAAAATAACACAAATGACTCAAAAATATAAAGACTCGATCGTGGCCGTAGATCGGCGGCCACGTCTCTGATAAACCTTCCACGATCTGATGTCCCAATCAGGGAAACTTCATGTCATTGATCGTTGTCATTTGTTTGAGCCTAGTGTTTATTTACACTTGAGTAACATTGACTGTGTGCGAGCTTCTGTATTCATCACAAAATTCCTTCTTCATACAAGTGCACTATTGTCTAAAGTCATCAAGTCCTTTATCAATTGTTCAAGTCATTTGAGTTTGAATGTTCAATGTCAAGTCCACTGTGGTTCTTGTCAAATTCAGGTTTGAGCTCAGTTCAAATCAAATATGCTCCACTATCAAGTTTGAGTACACTATAGTTTCTTTGAGTTCAAAATTTGCTTGATTGTTCAAATCAAATTGTGCACAAATTTGTTTAAGCCTTTTATCATTTGAATTCAGATGCTTATGTTCATTCGGGTTTGAGTCTAAAAGTTTTATATTATTCAGATCAAGTTAAGGTTAGTATTCAACATCACTTAAGTTCAAGCTCATGTTCTAACTCAAGTCCAATATGAGTTCAAATTCAAGTGTAATCTTCTTATGTTCAAAAGTCCACCAATTTGGTATGCAAGTTCAAATCTAAGTCCCCTGCTTTCCATGTGTGTTCAAATTTGAGTTCAATTCAAGTTTCAACGTTGTTCCAAGTCCAAGTGTTCAAATAGCAAGCTCAAGTCCTTATTCAAATTATTCAAGTTAAGTCCCTCTCACTTAGTTCAAACCAAGTTCATAAGTCTCAAGTGACCTTATTCAATTCAAGTTCAAATGAATGTCCACAAGTCCTCTGGTTGAGTTTAAGTATCAAACTCAAGTTCACTTGAGTTCAGGTTCATTTGTATTTAAGTTTAAGTTCAAATTAAGTGCATTTAATGTTTCTTCAATTTACAAGTCTAAGTCCAAATAATGTCCCACAATCCAAGTCCTTGTCCTTTCTTGGACAAAATTTCGACAGCCTCCCCGTGTCTCCCCTGTTTAGTGAAAAAACCAAGAGACAGGCTTTCCCTCGACGGTACGTGAGCGCTTCAAGTAGGTGCCAAAATGACAACGTAGGGGGTTTACCGACCCGTCGCAAGCCACGAGAGGAAGATTTTTTAAGGTTAAAAAAGAAAGAGAAAAATATACCTTTCCACATGGCAGCGGCGGTGACGGCGATAGAAAGTACAAAACCATTTCATTTTTTTCCTTTTTTTTTGAAATAATAATAATTATAACTAATAATAATAATTTATTATTATTATAACTAATAATAATAACATATATATTATTATAGTTATAATAAATGATAAACTAAATTATCAATTATATCAATAATTAGTTAATCACTAATCAATTCTACAAAAATGACAGTAGTATTACCTATTATTTGGATTTTAGGTTAAGTTGAGTGGTGGCTGGTTTGAGTTTTGAAATGGGTTTAGATGGGTTGGTTTGGCTCAGACGTGAAGAGGAGTTAGATTAGGTCAGGTTAATGGGGTCGGCGGGTTTCAATAGAGGAATGGGTTCTTCTTGCAATTGATAGAGGAAGACGTGTTCGAAGCTTGCGAATAGAAGCAGGAGAGGCTTCGACTGGGGCATCGGCTTGAAGAGATTGGCCGGGTAGGAGCTCTCTCTCTCTCTCTCTCTCTCTCTCTCTCTCTCTCTCTTCTCTCTCTTTCTTCTCTCTCTTTTTTTCTTCTCTCTCTATTTCTCTCCGGCCAAAGGGATTGGGTCTTGGTCGCAGCAGGTCAGAGAGGGAGTGGCAAGGTGGGAGCTTGGGGCTGGCTTCGGCTTAGAGAAAGCAGGAGTTGGAGCTTCAGTTTGGAGTGGAACCAGTGTTGGGGTGGAGGTGAGGGCTTGGAAGCTTGCGGTATGGAGGGAGGAAGAAGGGAGCTGAGGGTTTTGGTCGTGAGGGAGATTGCGAATGGGAAGGGGCTCGTGCGTGGGAGAGACGAAGAAGAAGAGGTCGGGTAAGGGGATTTGGAGCGGCTGTGGAGCTTTTGCGTGTGTCCCAGCCGAATGCCTCCTCTGCTCTTCTTCTTATAATGAGAGTGGAGGCACACGATATGAGCAGAACTCCTTGAGAAGATGTGAGACGGGACATTTCGGCGCCGAATCGCAGCGGATAAGGCACTGTAGCAGGATATCTGGCTGGATACGGGATGGGTCGTCAGGTACAATGATTTTGCATATATTTTTTTATTTATTTTGCTCGTTTTAGTTTGGCTGTGACTTTAGAGGTCAACATATGTTAAGAAAGGTAGAGGCAGATTTAAAAAGACTTGTTAGAAAACATTAGGAATGACCTTTTTGTATTAGATTTAAACGAAAATTTGACTTTTAATAAGATACAAAAGGCTTGATATTGTTGTTGTTGTTGTTGTTGTCCTTCTCATTCTTATCTTATTCGAAGTAAATGTAACAATATTGCTGTTGAGTAGTAGTTAGGCGTTACCTCTAATCGTTGTGTTCAGTTAACCAGTCTTTAACCATGGTAGATGATATGAAATAGCAGGTTAAATAACTTTATTTTACTTTGAGCTGCGTAGCTTTTATGATATTTCTACTAGATTGTTCTAAATAAAGTCCCCCCCTTATGAACCCATTTTTTTTTATGTTTTCTATGCGCCCATTAAGGGGGAACCCAAAGAAATTAGTGAGCTTACTAAGCCAACTAAATCAAAGAATCCTTTCTATGAAATTTCAATGCAAATCTTCGTAGCTTTTATATATAAATTTCAATGCAGATCTGAAGGGCAATCCCACCTACTCTGAATGCTGTGTTTGTATTATTGAGCAGGAACCAAATTTTTTGTGGTTTGTGAACCTGGAGCTCAGCATATGGAAGGACTCCTAAAGGTTATTTATGAGCTATACACTGATTTCGTGCTGAAGAATCCTTTCTATGAAATGGAAATGCCTATCCGATGTGAGCTTTTCGACATCCATCTTTCTCAAGCTATTCAGAAAGATCGTGTTGTTTTGCTTGGTAGATGAACACAAATCATTTTTTTGTTTTGTAATCTTTTGGTTCAAACATAAAGTTCTTTGTATGGATTAATCTGTTCTCTTTTAGTAATCTTGATGGTGGATTGATTTGACTGAAACATTTTTTTTTAAAGCTATGATTATTCGAATTTTAAAGAAGAATATCTTCTAACCGAAATCTAAGCTGAAATTTATTATACTATTCTATATCATAAAAAATGCATTGAGGATAGTTTTGACTCTTAACAAATATTTTATTGTCATTTTTCTTATTAAAATATATCTTAAAATTATTTAAAACATGTATAATTTATGATTAATTAATTTAAATTTATATTACTTTTTTTTTTTTAATTTCTAAACAAAAGATGAGTCTGAAGTACTCTAAAATAGAATGAGGACAATCAGGTTTCTATTGAGATATCTTGATGATTAAATTAATGAATCCAAACAGTGAGGAATAAGCAGATTTAAGTTAAATTGAAGCATATCTCTGAGCTATGAAAGTTGAGAACAAATAAACAAATATCACAAAAAATAAAATAAAGTTGTTATTGAACATACAGGCCTACGGGAACCTGTACATATACATGATCATACAGTCCAATGTTAAATAGCTCTTGTAGTTAATACATAAATACAAACAGTAGTAGGTACCTGAATCATCAACCTTCTATCCTCGGTGCAGATTAATTCAATCTCCAATGGCAATTAGCTTGAATCTGCACCTGCTAACCCTTCAAGCCCAGCTTCAAAGGTCAATATATTAACATTATATTGATACAGAAATTATAAAAAAAAAAAAAATCTGTAGCAAATGGACAACTAAAGAATTAAGAAGAAGAATCCTACAAGCTGCAGTTGTTACTTTTGATTTTCCACTGGATTTTCATCAAGAATTATTTCAGCAGGATCACCTATCCATAATCTTCCATCCCTCCATCTGAATCTTATTCTTAATTTACCATTAGCATCTACTCCCATAACTTCACCAGTACTAGAAAATGTCTCCATTCCCCAACCCCATCTGGGCATTTTCAAACCAGGTCTAATCCTCACCTTATCGCCAACCTGGAAGGCTCTGACTTTCTCTACCTCACATTCCTTACAAATCCATAGCTTCTCAGAGAAACAAAAAGAAACCCAAAGCTCGCCATCCTCAGCCCGATGTACAACTCCGATACTCGATGGGTTTACATCCCCCCACTGATAAGTAGGTGTTGTGACTGTCGCTCTAACTCTCACCCAGTCGCCGACACAAACTTCCTCTTCCTCGACTCTATCCACCTCTGCCGGGTCCATCATCCATGCCTTTGATCCAGCTGGAGTGTAGATCCTAAGCTTTCCATCTGCATCGATGGAAGATATAGTTCCGATACTCGCATGGCTATGACCCGACCAGCCAAACCTCGGTTGCTTAATGCTTCTCATAATCCTCACACGCTGACCTGCAACAAGCTTATCAAACCTTTCAAGTTCAACCGAAGGTCCCACCCACCGGTCTTGCTCTCCACAGAAGGCGACCTGCACTTTTCCATTCCAGATTTCTGATTCATATTCTAATCCATGTACTATACCTGTGCTTCCAGGTTTCAAGGATCTCCAGACAGAAGCATTATTTCTGAGCTTCACCCAGTCACCAACCTCAAATATATCTTCCTTCTCAAGATCTGCAGGGTCTCCCTTCCAAAGTCCAGCCATGCCGAAAAAGGCTACCCTTACTTCACCATCAGCATGAACCCCAGTAATGATTCCAGTGGACTCATGATTAGCATCCCTCCAGCCCCATCGAGGCTCTACAATTCCACTGCGAAATCGAACATAATTCCCGACTTTCAAACACGGAACCTTCTCAACATCCATGTAATGTGCCACGCATTTTCCTTTCCTGAAGCAACCTGCAAGTTCTAAATATCCAGAATCTTGAATGCTATGAACCACAGCTATGCTATCCTTTCCTATACTATTCCAGTCATATGATGGCCTTGATCCTAAACTAGGCTTCAGTCGAACCCAATCTCCAACTTCAAATCCGGAAAGCCGCTCGGCATCACCTGGAGCAACTTTCCACAAACTGCTCCTACCAGCAACCCTTAGCTGCATATATAGCAAATGAGTTAAATATTTTCCAATTTAATCTAAGGCTAAAGCTAAAATACTCACATTTAGTGTTCCATCCATGTCTACCCTTTCAATCTTCCCAATTGTAGCAGCAGTTTCATTAGACCATCCAAGTTTTGGCTGTGATATGTTAGGCATAATATGAATCTTTTGTCCTATTTCAAATGGAGGCACCTTCTCCATGTCGGCCACCGAACAACTGAAAGGTTTGCTTCTAAAGCAAAAGGCAACACCCATATCGCCATCATCCTCAAGGCTATGAATTATCCCAATGCTGTTACGGGAAACATCTTCCCAACCATATTTCGGAGAAGGTACCGAGGCCTTGACTCTTACCCAGTTCCCCACCTAAACAGAAAGGAATATCGTCAATATAAATTTAAGAGTAAAACAAAGATAAAACCTTTTTATAACAGAAAAAATGAATGAAAGCAAACCATTGTATACCTTGAAACTCTCTACCTTCTCCATATCAGAAGGATCAGCTTGCCAAGGACTCGAACGATTTGGAATTTCGATTATGAGCAAACAATTACTCTCTATGTCAGTTATTTTTCCAACACTGTGATGAGTCTCACCACCCCAAGCATATCTAGGTTCTCCAACAGATCTCTTCACACATACTTGATCACCAATCTATGAGCCAAACCAAAATAAACAGATAATAAAGAGCACAGAATAAACAAGAAATCATCAAAGCATAAAATAGAAATATATCTAAGTACCCTGAATGGGTCAACAGTCTCTACTTCCTCTGGTTCACAATGCCATGGGCTCGGCAAATAACAAAGACCCAGTAAAAGACTGCAATCCGGTCTGATTGAGTATACTATTCCTATGCTCCCTGGAGTGACAGCTTCTAAACCATGTATGGCAGCTGTTAATGAGGGGCGAATCCTCACCCATTCACCGACCTTAAATTCTTCAACCCTTTCCATTTCAGCAGGATCAGCTCTCCAACCCCTGGAGGCTCCAGGAAAACCAACTCGAAGAATTCCATCATCATCGACACAGAGAACAGTTCCGATACTATCACGTGATTGACGACGCCAACCAAACCTGTATTTAACCAGATGAACTATTCACCCAGATTATAGAAAAAAGCTACTAAAAAGTATATTCAGAAAACAGCCAATGCAAAAAGTAAAACACAAACTACATTAGAGAAACCTGCTAATGTGACACATGGTGTGCATTATAGATACTGAACTGGTTAAGAACAAGAAGGTGCTCGCTAGAGAACCTAGCACTTAAGGTAAGGCATTAGCAAGATGCTTCAAGGTGGTTACATGGTAAATTGCATGGCATTCATTGAGCACTGGAGTGGCTTAAGACGTCAGCAACTTAAAATTTTTATCAGCTCAACAACTCAAAATGAATGCAAACAACAAACCCAAACAAGGGACAGATGACTCAGGTTGCATGATTAAGAACATATTTTTTAAAATCATCTAATCATGCAATAAACAGAAGCCAAATCTTTTAATGAATATCTAATAACTTAAAAGAATGTTTACTGATAAAAAGAATATCAAAAAGCATTCTCCCTTTATGATTCTTGTAAAGTACACATCGAACAAGTATTCAAATCATTTAAATGATGGTTAGTTAACAGGTAAATAAAAAAAAAGAAGTTGATCAGAAAGCTGATCCTTGGTACAAGCAACTACTAAAATCTACAATTTTATTTTACAAAACGCCAACTTTGCATGTCATCAAATTCGCGCTTTGTCTGTTAAATGCTAGCAAGCAGGTTACTACAAATAGATATTATCTAAATAACGAAAATTTCCACTAAATCTTTAGAGCAGTACACGAGCAGTAAAGGGGCAGGGGTGCCAAGCATTATATCGGAATTAATTATCACTGCAAAAGATGACACAAATAGCACAAATAACTGCATAGTGAGAATTTATTAATAGCCAAGTAACCTACAAGACAAGTAAGAGAAACATATGCATCAAATATAGAAACCTGATATGATAATTTCTATGCAATAAAATCAAAGCCCACAAACCAATAGATGTAATCATATTAACTCCTACACACTAACTTTAAAAACTCATGAATACCTAAAACTTGGTCTTTTATGAGAATGGACAGGCAAGAAAATCAATGTCTGCGCACCAAGAGACACTCTCACATTACTTCTACACAGAATCTTTAAACGACCATGGAAATCAAAACTTGAAGAGACAATAAAGATAAAAACTCATTAACGATAATTATGCAAAAGAATGTTTTTCCATGAAGACGAAAGGATAATAATTCTTAGATTGCCACTTATACATGCATTTCAATGCTTCCAGATACAGCTGGAGGAAATACTGTCCTTGTGCAGAGCATTCCCATGAAAAATACATTCCAAATTATGGAGAACGCAAGGGCATATATAATAACAGAAATATAAGTTGTGCAACTCGCCTAAAAAATGTATTATTTTCCCCTAAATTCAATACCTTGGCTCTCCAACATCAGCTTTTAGTTGTACATGCTGTCCCCTATTTAAAGGGATGATTTTTATAACCTCATCTTTCAAGACATGAGCCTCCCCAGAGCAAAATGAAACAACAAGATTATCATTGTCCAGAATGGACTGCACAAAACCTACACTCTTGTGCTTTGCATCTTGCCAACCGTATTTAGGAGTGCTAAGATTTCTCCGGAACTTTACCCAGTCTCCAACTTCATACCTAAACAATGCACGTAAATATTTTTAGCATAGTAGGTACGAAGGATAATTTAAATAACAATAACCAATTTAGGAGAAAGACCCAAGTAATGAACATCAACTGTGTAAGAAAGAAGTCTTCTCTGCTCACATGGTTGGGGATAGATGAACTCCTTTACTTGCAAGTGCTTCCATCAAATCTTCGGATATCCATTCTCGAGGAAGGGCTTCCAGAAAATCACGCAATTTCCAGCCTCTATTATCCATAGTAAGATAAAACGTTAGTCTCTCACTAATGACTAAATTCACAAAACAACAGCTTTCAAGCTAAAAATAGTAAGTTAACAAGATCAGCTAGAGATGTCATACAAAAATGTGAAATCATCCTACAATGTCAAACAAAAAGGTGTGCTTTAACGTTTACTAAGCTTCTCTTAGACTCAGTATAAGAAATAAAATCAACTAGCACTCAAATTAGCATACTTACATATCTTTTTCATGACTATTGAACATTCTAATGAGATTGCATATGTTCCACAATAGGAAAAGTATGACTGCTATGTTCAAACGTCTGTTTTTGAATCAATTCCATAAGTAGTGTATAGCTAAGTCGAAGTTTTCCGATGGTAGGAAATCCTAGAACCTATAGGGACCATTATAAGGTAGAAACAGCAGGAAAAAAAAATATAAAAAAAATTATTATGAGCCATACCAGCAACACAGTTCTACATAAAACTTCTACAAATTCATTGGGACTAGTTTAGTTACACTGCTTCAAACAATTTATGAAAAACAACATTAGCTAACGTAGCGACAACTTCATGCCATAAATCAAGACCAATCTAAGAGAATACATTAGACTAGATTATGTATGAGAACCGTCTAAGTGATATTGACTCACATGAGAAAAAGTTGTGCTCGCTGAGCAACACCAGGTTGAATTCTCACAATATTCCACAGCTATGACTGTTGCAATATGTCTACCATCTTTTCATAATACTGATTTTTAGCAAAATGGCTTCAACAATAAATTTCCAGGAAACTAAGCTTAATGTCAAATATGGTGGAAGAGTTTATTGCCATCAGCAATACTTAATTCAAGAATTTATGCTCCAAAATACTAATAAGAGGATTTTCCAACAATTACCACACCCATTCGCAATGACGTGTGACCAATAATTCAGATTTAATTTAAGAGTTTTTCTCAAATAATATATCTTAGAACTTTTTAGAAGATACATAAAAGTGGATATTATTACTTTACTTAGAAGTGACCCAATAATTGTTCTTACAACCTAATCTTTTAAATTAGATATTTGGATTACTACAGTTTATTTAACAATTTTTTCTAAAATGTGAGTCTTATTACTTCACTTAGATGTAAAACCCGAAAACGACGATCGTAGGTCGTCGCATGCTTTTTGATGCATCGCGACGAAACTTAAGTGAAAAATTAAGGTTAACGGAACTTGAAAAAAATAATTTTGTAAAATTCTACGCAAAATTTTGATCAATTTGATGTATAGAACTGATAGTTAATTTTGTGTATTTTGAGAAATAAAAATTATGGAAGTTTATAAATGCCAAATCTACCCCTAAGCAAATAAAATGTCGGAATTGTTTAGGTGAGGGCATATGAGTCATTTGGCAAAACCCTTTCTCCCTATTATAGCAAAACCGAGCCCCCTAATCCCTCATTCGCACGGTTTGAGCGGAAGAAGCAAAAGGGGCGGACAGCTAGGGGCGATGGACGGGCGACGGGCTCCTCTCCGGCGGCGATTTTTCGGCGAGAAATTTAGTGCAAATCGAAGAGGACGATAAGGGGATTACAAAGGTATGATTTATTTAAAGCGAATCTCTCTCAATCTCAAGTTATTTGGAAAAAGCAAATCTAGGGTTTTACAAAAATTTTCCAATTTTTTCTTTACGAAATCAATAGAAACGATATAGGGGAATGATTTCACGATAGAATTGAAGTTTTTAGAGAAATTTTTTGAAATCGAAAATTTAGGTCTTTTATCTAAAATCTAATTTCCTTAAAGTACTTTTACAAAAATTATTTCTGAAGGTCTTAGGAATGTTTTAAAAAAAATTGAGTTTTTGAAATAAATTTCATTTTTAGTAATTTCTTAATTAATTAAATCCGAAAATTAATAGATAATTATTAAAATATGTTTAGGGATAATTTTGACATAATGATTTAAGTGAAATTGAAAATTTAGGGATTTCTAAATATTGGATTTATAATAATTTCGAAAATAGAATTTTAATTATTTTCATTATTGAAAATATTTGTGATGCGTGGTTAGTTCAGTTGTAATTATCCTTAGGTGTGGATTAAGGAGATGACATGTGGTTAAGCAGCGTCGTGCAGCGTCTTGATTGTTGTTCGATACTTGCAAAGATAGGTGATTAAATTTAAATTAAGTTTATGAAATTTAATTAATTCTTATTGTAATTTCAAAAGTTTCAAGTTAATGTTTATAATTTCTTCATTTTTTCTTTAGCCTTACAATTATTGTTTATACATATAGTATATTACTTAGAATGTTAAAGCAAATTAAACAATTTTTTTTAAAGCAAATTAAACAACTTCATGCATAAGAGATACATAATTTTCTTACCCGAAAAATACTGAAGAACGTATGATGTAATGAAAAATTATTAGTCTCCCTGAGGAATATAAGTATTATAAAGTGCATGTGCATGACGATCCGGAAGTGCAAAAATAATAATGGGGTTCTACGGAGTCAAAAGATAAAAGGGGCTTGCAAAAGCCAAATGGTAATGGGGTTCTTTGGAGCCAAATGGTAAAAGAATGGCCAATGACAGTGTACCTGATCAGTACAAAACTCTGGTATTTTCGAGACAGGTGTTTATTATATTATGATTATGAAATTTATGCACTTAATGAAATGATTTAAAGAAAAGAAAAGTTTTTATGAAAAAAAAATGAAGAATGATTAAAGAAAATGTTTTAAGAAAATGATTATGGAAATGTTTTATAAAATCATGCCTATAAATGTTTATTATAATCTTTTATTGTTTCATTTTTCATGCTTAATGGCATGTTTAAGAAAGAAAAAAATTTATGAATTTAAAATAAATGTTTATCACCTACTGAGCATTGGCTCATCCTATTATTAGAAATATTTTTCAGGATATATTATTAAAAAGTAATGACTACGAGACGACAGTACACCTATCGTCGTAGAGGACCTCAAGAAGAAAAGTTTTATGTTTACTGTTTTGAGTTTGAGTTAGTGGTTTGTATCTGAACAATTTGTTGGAGTGTGTAATTGTGGATGTTTATGTTTTTAGTTTTGTGTGAGAAGAATCAAATTGGATGAACTTTTAATTGATGTTTTAGTTGGCTCTTTCTTTTTATGTGATTGACGATGTTGATATTTTGTCATAAAAGTTTAAATGAAAGATTATGTCTTATGTTACGGTGTTTTCCGTACGACTGTCTGCTCCTGTCCCGTTAATTCGGGCTAGCTGGGTCGGGTCGTGATAAGAGTGATATCAGAGCAAATGATTTAATACTGATCAATGAAAGAACCTATAGGAGAATTGTATGTGTCTTAGAATGAGTAGAAAGTATGAATTTTATGAATTATTCATCTTATGATTATTGTGTTTTATCTTATGAATATGGATCATGAGTAGAATACCACTGATAGCATTGATGTGGAGGAATGGAGGGAGCTACCAACAGTAGCTGAATCTCAGAGGAATAATGATAGTTCAACTATGGAGTCATTTGCTCAGATGATGGAAGCAATGACTTAGATGATAAAGACCACGCAAACTCAGAGCATTGGCAATGGAAGTGGAAGTCGTTATGGATAAGAACTTGAAACTACTTCAAGATATGAAGCCTATGTTTTTTTCAAGTGGCGGGCCTATAGACTGAAGATTAGCTGATGCGGATAGAGAAGATCCTAGAGGGCATGTCTTAACCAGAAGATAGGAGAGTGACACTTGTTGCTTATGCTTTTGATGGTGAGGCAGAAAGGTGGTGGAGTCAATTGTAAGAAACTTTTGGAGGGCGACCCAGCAATCAACTCTCCTGGGAGGAGTTTGTGAATGTATTCAGAGGCTGGTATGAGCCTATGTCAGTTAGGAGACAGATGCAGGATAAGTTCAACATATTAATTCAGGGAGATCGATCTGTTTCTCAGTATGAGGCAGAGTTCATAATGTTGTCCAGGTATGCCCCTCACTTGATACCCAATACTAAAGAGAATGTGTCACCGCTTTCTGAATGGATTAAAGGGCATAATACGACAGCCTCTCATTCTTTTTGGACTAAAAGATTATTCTGTTTTGGTGAAAAGAGTCAGAAGGATTGAGATGGACATGCAGGGAACTCAGAAGAGGGATTTTTAGAAAAGGAAGATGGAGGGCAAATCAAAGCCCTCTCAGTTTGCTCAATCTACTCAATCTGAGATGTCTACTTAGAAGAAGCCCAGATCCAACAACTTGGACAGTATTGCTTCAACTGTTATGATGTAGGAGAAGGGAGAGTGTCTCTCTAGCACTAATACTTATTGCTGGTGCCATCAGCCTGGACATATGGCGAAGTCTTGCCCTCTTTTGGGACAGAGATCTGCTACAGAGGTAAGGTCAGACAACAATACTCAGAGAACTGCTGGCAGACCAAGAGCTTTGAAGTCTATAGCTTCTGTTCCTTCTCAATGTCAGACTCATCAAAATGTTCAACCTCGAGTCTATGGATTATCCCAACAAGAAGCTAAGGGATCTCGTGATGTTGTTACAGGTACGCAATTTAATTAAACGTCAATGAAAGATTTTATATGAAATGAATGAACAATGAATGATATGCTTTATAAATGAATATTGTGACTTGTTTATGATTATGAACAATTCTTATGTGCGATAGACCTGTTAGAATTTTATTTGAACTGGAGCGTCGCATTCCTTCATTTATGAGAATTTTGTTAGAGCAGTTAATTTGTTTCAAATAGTTATGATTAAATCACTGTCAATTTTAATGCCTAATGGAAACCAAATGGAAGCAAAGCAGAAATGTCATATGGAATTGAGGATTTGTGATAAGAACTTAGAGGCAGATCTTAGTGTTTTACCCCTATTTGAGTTTGATGCAATCTTAAGCGTTGATTGGTTATCTTACCATTTCGTGATTATAGATTATAACAAAAAGGAAGTTAAGTTTTGTATGCCAGGGGAGAGCAAATTCAAATTTCAAGGGGATAAAAGGGTAACATCTGT